GAGAGTCTAGCCATCAGGGTGTAACAATACCTTTCCATTTTAAAAAGGTATCTTTAAAAGTCTAAGCCAGTTAACAGAAAGGCAGAAACAGAGAGTATAAAGCAGACATTAGGCAAAAAAAATGTGAAACATGTGATAATAACATTAAATTATAGTAATCTGACACATGTTCAAATTGAGGTACTGTTCATTCACTTTTGCCTGTCAAGAATGTGCTTTTTTTCTTGTTGTTCTGTATACCAGGACATTGTTGGTTTCTTCCTAAAGATATATTTAATTGCTAAGAGTTGGGATGCTTACTTTAAGTTACAAAAATTCTAAGCTAAGATTTACAATACCATGACCAGCTAGAATATATTCTAAGAACGTTTTTGTCATTGTTAGATGAGAGAAAACTCTCCCTCTGCTCTAAAGTCACCCTGTATATGGTTTGGAAAATTCAAGTCCCAGAGCACAAGCAGCTTTCAGATTTTCTCATCAGGGAAACCTGATGAAAACCATTCTCAACCATAAATTGGGCTTTGCCATTGTATTTACAAAACAAGAATGAGTTTCTACTTGTCGCCGTGCCCAAGGTACGTATCAGATCACGTATCAGCAATCCAGAGGAAAAATATTGCACAGAAGCACTGTCTTGTGTTGAAAACAGTCTTTGAGAAAATTCTTCATCACTCTAGACATAGCTGAGGCTTCAACTCTAGAGCTGATTTTGTTGGTTTAACTAGCAGTGAGCCATTTCAGAATAGTTTTAAGCCGACAATTTTTAAGATGGTGAAAGTTGAAAATTCCGGTAATTCTTTATGTAATATAGAATAAAAACACTGTAAAATTCCTTTAAGTACTGAGAAAGTTTGAGAATGTGATCCATATAATGTTTATGTGCAGTAGTATCATCACGCAGTATTATCCTAGGGAATGAGAAAAATGCAGACTGCTTCAGTAAACATATTTTGACTTTTATTTGTTACCCTCTTTTCACAAGGAACTCAGTAGCATTCTGAGCTCTCTTGGCTGTGCTTTGTCACAGCTGTGAGTGAGCGTTACTTGAAATAACATCTCTTCCTTGTAGAAACGTTGTCAGCTGCACTGCTGATATTACAACAGATGTGTAAATATCCTAAATGTTTGAAGTGATCTTGTCCAGAAACTGGCCTGGAGAACTTTCTGGCATCACCTGAGGAGTTGAAACACTTTTGGGGGGTATGTTTTATTTATTTAATTGGTGGGGAGAGGGAGTGTGGATAGAGATGTTCATATGGCTTTTCATTTTCTTTTACGAAGTAATTCTGATGCCTATTTGATATACTGTAGTTGATTAACAAAAATCTTTGATACAGAGGTAAGGCTCCTTGGAGGTATATAGTTCCCTGCTGTAATGTCTGGCTCAGCAAAACTCATGCTTCTGAAGACCAAGAAATAGTACATGTACAGACAGCTCTTAAGCTCTAGAGCTGTGAGAAGTCTAAAGATTTACCTGCAAGCACTGAAGCCATATTATTGTTTGTAAGTGTAGCTTCTGTGAGCATGGAGAGATTAATTATGGAAGGTTGGCAGGGAGAGTGCAAGGCAATCTGGAAAGGACCACACTGTGCTAGAAGAGAGTGAACTTCTCTTTTCTTGCGGGGGGCTGCACGTAATGGCAAGAAAAGAGTGGACGGGGTCTCAAGATTTAGCATGTCTCTGTTCAGAGCTGTTTCAGCTGTAGGACACACCGGCCTCTTGCTGATGACAACAGTGAGGTGGGAAAAGAGTGTAGTCTGTGTGTTTAATGATAGGAAAATGAAAGTGTAACACACTTGGACTGTAAATGAAATGAAGCACAGAGTTGTTTTTCCATGAGGTAAGAGAGTCTGTCTGTAAAGCAGATAAAGGCAGATCTTGTTTTATACTATTCAGAAACAGAGAGAGAGGTGTTCATGACAAGGGATGCTGTTGAAAACAGAATATGGGTAGATGCACTCCTTAACTCTTGCTCCCTACTTCTCAGTACCATGAGGGTTGCTGAACTCAGCATTCCCAGACAGCGCATCCAGCCAAGGAGACAACTCTGCTGTTCCTTATCTTTGAATTTCCAAGGTTGTGTTAGCTCTGGTGGAGACAGAGCACCTCTGGGTGTTAGTGATCACAGTTACCATGGTATTTCACACTTGAAATGCTACTGAGGTAGGCAGAGAGAAAGGAGACTGGTTTCAGCATAGAATATGGCTTAATGGCTTGGTCTTTACTGTTAGGTCCAGACAAGCATGCTGTGGAAAAGCTCATGTCCACCTTCTGACACAGTCAATGTCTGTTTTGAGCAAGTTTACCTACTTCTGAATCCATTACCAATGCTGAAATGGAACAGAGACTCTCCAAAATAAGCAATGCCTTCAGAAATTGCCAGATAATAGCAAGAGGGGAAAGAGGGACATGAAACGGAGAGGAGAGGGGAGGGGAGGGGAGGGGAGAAAAAAAAGATCTTTGGGTATTTAATGCATTAGTTAAAATAACATATGATAGTTAATATCTTTATAAATATATCTTTACCTGTAGTGGCTGGAAAGTTTAAAATTTAAAACCAACTAAAGAAAGTCATGAATTTTATCTAAGCTGTCACAGGTAGATCTTCATAATTTATAAATGGCATAAAATACTAGAGGCTGAAGTCCTAAAAAGGAATTATGCCAGTGATAAAAATACAGTGCAGCTGAGAGATTTGGGCTACTTTATCCAGATTCCTAGTATCTACTTGCTGAGAAGATTGTCTAGGGTAAAGTGAAACCCAGTCACTTAAGAGAGGAAACAACTCCCTGAAGACATCAGTAAAAGCTGTAAAATGCTGAATGATGCATGAAAGCAGGGAGCTTGTTACAGAAAAAAAGTTGCTGAAATTATCTGTGATGGTCTACTTATCTTTGAATTTAGCAGAAGAAGGATACCTGGAGGAAACAACCATATGTGGGGAAAGAAAAAAGTTCCTGCAAAAACACCTTGCCTTTAGCTGGGTGTTAATGTGGATTCTTATGGCTACTGTCCGGTAAACCACATGAGCGTCTCACTGACGGCATTTTGCTTGTTAAAAAAGCATTTCTTTGATTAAAAAGAAGGGACAACTGGACATGTGTGTCTGAGCAGTGATTAATTACTGCAGACTTAACACACTGGGTGGCAAGTGTCTGAGAAGAGTCACTCAAGGCGAAAGCTTTCTTTGACAAGTATCAGAAGGAGTGGTTGTGCTGTATTATAAGCTTATATTAAATCAGTGTAAGCTTGGTCAGAAACTTTTTTTTTCTTTTTCCCAAAAATGCTCAGATACTACTTCCAAGGTCTAAATGTCTGCTAGGGAAAAGAAACTGGTAAGTATTCTATGTCAGTAAAGTGTAACAGAAAGATGGTCAGACAGTGCAAAAACTGAAATTGTGCAGGGGAAATTGCTAAGTAGAAAACATGGGCTGCACAAATTAGCTTACAGTTTGGAAGAGGGAGGTATTATAGCTGATAGTCCTGTTATAAATTCTGATCCAGAGTTGACTTTAATTTGTGTTAAGACTTTGAAATGCCTGCATGATATTTTCTAAACACTATCTGACCAGTAAGTATTTAAATATTCTGTGCTATTATAGGCAATGGTTTCTTGAGGAACAACCAATATTCATCTGCATGGTCCAATGAAACAATGTGAAGGCAGAGAATGGCAGAAACATAATTTCTCATCTGGACTAGTGCTATTTCTATTATCCTGTCAAAACATACTCAGAAATATGGATATTGGGTGCCAGGCCTGGAAAGGGAAAGATAAAAGATTTAAATTACTGTTAAGTCAGAAAGCCAGAGTTATGTAGCCCAGAACTTCTGTGGAAAAGCGTTTTTCTTCTCTTCTGGTGTCAAAAGTTAGAATTATTTTTCCTCTGAACATAGAAATACTCTGCTAAGAGTCAGCTTAGTTACAAGCAAAGTTGTATGAATTGTAGAAAATACAGTATTAATCCTCTTAATAGAGGTTGATCATTTATGAAGAGCAGCCGGAAGAGATTAGATCATACAAATGCCTAGAGGTTGAGCAGAGGAAATACCTCCTTTCTCCTAGGGATATTTTAGGGGGCTTAAGGTAGCAAGAGTACATGCAGTGATGCATCCATTAATGCATACTGATCAGATAAGAGTTTTGCAAAGACCTGAAATAGGAGTTTAAGTCCAACTTTTGAATTTTCAGTAAATTGTCACTTTTTTCTCTAAAGTGATATCTAACAGAAAAATATTGTCAGGACCTTACTTAGAGAGAAGGCCACCAGAATTACCCTGAAGTACTAACAAGTCGGGGCAGGTTGATGCATATCTCGTATTGATTATTGATATTATCAGTGTTGTTACTATTAAGATACTGATTATCTTCTCCTGAGATAAGTATGAATTCCCTCACCAAAAAAATACCAAAGTGGTCTTATTTTATTTCATCCTTTGGACTGATCAGATAAAAGTTGTCACTGAGGAATTCAAGATGGTAGGTTAGCTCTCTGGAAAAGGAAAATAGCATCAGAAAGATGAGAATTCAGAGATGAAGTAGAATATTCCAGAAGCACAGACAATAAAATAATAGATTTCAGATAACAAAAACAGCTATAAACAAGTGTTTTCATAGGATAACATAATTTTATATTAATAATAAGATCTTTCTTCTGGAACAGTGTTCCATCAACTCTGAACTGATGTTCACAGGGAGATTCCCACTGAAGATATTCTGAGATCTTCCTACAGAATTTCTCTGAAAGATTTTTTCCCCCCTCTGGGCTTACCAAATAATAAATATACTTGAAAAAAAAATAAAGGTTTAAACCTTGTTAAATTCTTTTCACTTATGTTTCATAAGTAGTAGTGTTTGTATGTATCCAATTACAAATCCATTTTGTTAATAATTTTATTCTTCTTTGTCCATTATGCATCATATGTAGGATTTAAAATAGTATGTAGGTTAAATAAATAAACTTTTCAGATTATTGTTGGCGAGAATTCTCTGAGGCATATTCCTTGAATTCTCTTGGTTTCCAGCATCTTGGTCAGGGTACTATTTGCAGTCCCTCTGTATAACCTTTACAAAATTCTGTATAAATTCTGTAAAATTTTTTTCTTCATATTCCTCACATTCTTTGCATTTTTTTGATGTTGTGGAATTCACCTGAAACAGAAAATGTCACTGTAAAACACAGGATATCTGATCTGTTTGTTCTGATAGAGAAGTAGCTCTTGCCCAGTCTGTTGTTTTGAATAATTCCACTGCAGACAATTGACTTAAGAGCACCCCGGTGCTCATGTGGGCTCTTCCTGGCTTGCTTTCTGAATTAGATGAGCTTTCAGAGATACAGAGTTTCCGTGAGACATGCAAAGGGCCTGTCCGCTTGAAAAGTAGGACACCTTTCTGTATGTGACTAAACATATTTGACTTTAGATGCTGAAGTTACGTTTTTTTTTTATGCAGACACACATTCATACACCCAGACATATTCATGCATGCATGCACTGTATTTGCTTTAAAAGGAATCCTGTTTTTTTTTTTTTTTTTCCTAAAAGACACAAAATCTTTCTTTTCATTGATAGGGCAAGGGATCACATTTGATTTGATCTGTACCATCCTACCTTTTACAAAACTATAAGAACCATCCCCCAAAAAGTATTTCTGCTTCTGAAGAAAAACATTTGTTTCTGTTTTTGACAGACTGTCAGTGTGACTAACCTGTTTATTTTCAAAGCTTGCATTTCCATTTTTCAAAATGTTGAATACATCTTGTGTTTTACTACAATTTGTTATATAACATTCATGAAGAATCACTTTCATCTCTAAGAAGAAGCATCTCATTACAAGTTCTTGACATTCCGTCTGAAAATAAGTTATAATAGTTTCACAATTAAAAATGAACAAAGAAATGTGAGATAAAATTTACCTAGGAGTGGCCATTTTTACTTTATTATAGACATCTTTTTACTGTTCAGAGACTTAGAAATATCTGCACAGATAGATTGTGAGAACTAACAATGTGTAGGCCAGCTAATTTGCTATAATGAGTTACAATGGTCTTGATGAAGAATATAGTAATTAAATAGGATAGCAATTTGGGAAATAATTAAAAATAATGGAATTAAATTAGTATTATATGGGTGGAGGAGGAGAATAAAAAGTAGGTTTGCATTTCACAAATTAAGAAAAAGAAGAGATACAAGTTTCTCCATCAAGTAAAGAGTGGAGCCAAGATTACATGCTGTTGTCTGATTTTTAAATTCAGGCTTTTTGTTCTAAGAAACTCTTCCTAATATTACCACCAGGTATTAGATCAGTCATTACACAATGTATTAACTTCTCAAGAGTTGGTTCAGTTAAGGAGATGGGGTGTGCACAGGTGGATTTGCACATTTTGTGGCCCTTTTTCCTGTCAGGTAGAGGTCTACTGCAAACACACATCAGAATCCCTGCTGTCCCGTGTTTCCACATCTGCTGTACATGTCAGAATTGCTGTGTGCTCTGCATGTACACTGAGGCAATTCTGCTCCAACATAGTAAGTCCAACATTTCTACAAAGGCTTGGGTTAACTTCCTCATGTACTGGATTTATGTACTCTCTATGTAGTAGTGCTCTGGAAGTAGTCAGGAAAGGAGGTACCTCAGAAGCAGGCTACTGCCAGCATCACCAGAGCAGTGAATCCAGCCCAGAGTCCTCCACAGTTAGCCCAGAGATATTTGCTGGGTGGCAAGTATTGACTGCATTACTTTTTGTAATAGGCTAGATGTGTCCTAGGGAGTGCAGACTGATCTTCCCAGCAATGCATTATGAAAAAGTCTCTTCAGGAATTAATGCTGGGAAGCTTCTGTAAAGATGATCATATTTTAGATAGGTTTTTATGATTGTATTTTGATTTATATCACCAAAATTGCATAATTTATCCTTTGCAAGATAAATTATAATTTCCAGCTATTAGAAATCTAAATCCTTGAGAGTAGGTGGGCTTTTTTGCCTTTAAGGCAAAAGCAGAGAAATGCAGAGGTGGATGCCGACACAGTTATTCTGCACATGCCATTAAATATGGTATGAAATAATCATCTTTGGAGGTGAGATATAATGATCTTGATACAGTAATTAATTAGTATTTTCTTTGTCCCTTTTCCTTAAATTACAAATGAACGCAGTTATTTTAGTAGTATTTGCTACTTTGATTTTGACGCTCCATTTTAATTGACTAATTTCAATAGCAGGCAATCCAGTAGAAATAAGTAATACCTACTGACATAGTTAATTTAACTAACTGAACCATTCCAAGACAAATGATTTGATTTCTGAAACATTTCTCAAATTACACCAAGCTTGCCTTAGGAGAAAGTTACTAGAAAAGAAATTAAGCTATCACATTTAAACTATTTTGGCACATTAAAATGTACTTACATCCTCATCTGCGTTTGCAGTGTATAAACTGACATCAATGTCCTAAAAGAAAACAAAAGAATATCAACAATAATTTGTATTTAGAGACAGGAAAGTTAGCTCCGAGTTCAAAGGAACAGACTGTGCCAGTACTGGGAGCCAGTAAGTTAGTAGATACTAGTAACCTGTAGGATGGACTTAAATTCACTGTGATAAGGGCTGTTTGGAATTGAGGGGAACTAGTACTTTCTCAGAAGGAGCAAATGCCCAAGCCCTATGCCTCCTTCCTTAGGAAGTTTCTTTCTGTTTTGCCCAAGTAAAAAGAAATTCTGAAACAATGCAGATGGAGCATTCAAGACAAAATTTAAACCTAGAGTATGCACTAAGTATGCAGTATTTGGTCAACTCCATCTCCCTTAAGCCTCCTATTCCTCTGTTTTCATCCATGCAAAAACATTAAACAAACCCACAGGTTATATGAAACATCAGCTTTTTTATGAACTTACTTCAGATGTTTTGATCTGCTCCAAATCCTTTAGAACTTCTGCCCACTTGCAATGACCAGCTGCTGTCTTCGGTAAATAAGTACTAGAAGAAAAATAGTAACTGTTAGGCTAGATAGTAGATATACACATTACTAACGCAGAAAAGGAAATCAGAGACTAGACTGTTCACATGCTATAGGTATGTATTTTTCATATATATAATTTCATATATTTATATATTTTTAATATATTTTGTAAATGTGTGGGGCAGATACACATTACAAATCATATAATCATACAGTGAGCCACATGTTCTATACACTGTTTATATGAGAGTAATGTATTGATCAATTATGGGACTGTTGTTAAATGGGACCACACCATACAAAGAATGCTATCTAGGAAGTACCGTAGACAACTAAAGATACATATAATATAAAGATTTACAAAAAAAAAAAATTGATTCTCTTATTCAGAAGATAAAAAGTCATGAATAATTATGTGCAGTATTTCAGGCTGCTAGTAATAAAAACCTTTCTATTGTACTTCATCTGTCAGAGGTATCATGTATCGGTGCAAATCTTACTTTTTTATTCTTTTTTTTTAAGGCCCATAGTATAGGAATGTGATATGAGAGGAAAGTTCACCTACTTAATGTAAAATACTTCATTATTTTTTAGGTACCAAAAAAGCCCCCGCAAATTTTGCATTTTCTTATACCATGCTTTTCCAAGATAATACATAATCCCTGTCAAACACTGAAAAATTTTCCTTCCTGTTACTGTGGAATTTCTATCTTAAGCCCTGTAGAAATATTAATTGTCATTTTACATGTAATTCTTTGTATACAGAGAAATTTCCTTATGCTGTGAGTAACATTTTGCTTATAATGAGCTGCTAGAGTGAAGGAGAATTTCTTTCTCCTTTTTAAGACTTATAAATATTAATTGTGGTTTTACTGTGTTCCCACTTTGATCCTTAATTTAAGTATTGGAAATACTTTCCTTTGAGGATTGCTGTACTATAAGTAATGTACCACAATGAAGGGAAAGAAAGAAGATATGTTGCTTTGGCAAGTTAGTTTTAGCGATTAAAACATTTGAGCCTTAATAAAAGCTCAGTAATTAGAAGGCTTTTGGAAAAGGAAGAAAAAGGGGGGAGTTAAAAGAAGAATCATAAGGTAGTTACCATCCTTTTCTTTTCCCAGGTATAGAAAGAAGCCATGTCAGACCTCAGCGAAGAGATTGGGCTTTTGCCCTCAACAGGCACAGGGCAAGAACAAGTAGGACATGTGAGCACTAGAGGCAGGGCCAGTTTTCTAAAACAGGAAACCAGAATGATAGTGGAAGGAGGCCTCTAACATATGCAGTACGGCATATACTTTTAAATATGTTCACATGTTCTAATGTGTAAAGGTGAGGAGATCATGGTGTTTTTTCTTTGTTTGTTTCATTGCAAATATATACAGCAAGTGATTGATATTTGTAAGGTAATAATTCCAACAATTGACAGTTATCATGGAGATAAGGGTGGAGATGCATTCTTGACCAGACTGAGCCTAGTCAGAGGAGGAAAGAATGAAGTGAGACCTAAGACTAAGGGTCTGCAAAGTACAATGGGAGAGGATCCGCATTCTAAGATGCCTGGAGGCAATTAAGTAAAACTATAATAATACAAGGAATAATTTATATCTACTATCTAATTAATTGTTAATTTTGTAGTTACCACAGGAAGAAGATGGTTAGTCCTTTCTCATTCTTTAAAAGGCCGAGAATATGGCTGTTCAGAAGAAGATACAGCTGGTATTGCAGACAAAGATTTTTAAGGTGTGTTTTCTGAAAGACAACCAAGAAGATAGCTTGTCACAATTTGTTTTCACAGGATTTTGCTTTACTGCTGCCTGAATTAACCAATTTGACAAGATGTCTGATCAAGACAAGACAACCTGTTGTGTGTAGACTGAAAGACCAACTGATCTGCAGCTTGCAGAAATGTATAATCACTTTACAAAATAGCTAGTAGAAAATGAGATGCTGAGGACACAATCAAAAAAAAATCTGGGCTCAGGAGTTCCCTATTTATTCATGTGTTCATTTTGCAAATTGCATTTGAATACAGGATCCTGTAATCCTGTAATAAGGATCGCTTGCTGTCTTGTTTTCAGTTCTGCAGATATTTTCCCTGGCCACTTTCTGCCTCCCAAAATCAGAAATGATCTATACATAGCTGTACATGGAATACTTATGTGTATGGATATTATTCATGCTAGTTAGATACAGTATATAAGTATATGGTTAAATAGTATGTATGTACTGGGAAGTGACGCATGTAAGATGTCTTACAGTAGTTTGAAAACTGGAAATTAGGAGGAGGTGTGAGTTGTGCATTTTTCATCAGCAAATGTTTTGCTGGGCACAGCCTGAGAACCACTTTGATTTAAGGTGGTGCAGTTCCTTCACAGAGCCAAGTTAATTATTGCCAGTTAGGCATTTGGTCCAAGGTAGTTGGGTTTTTTTCTCAGCATATGAGCAGTATTTCTTAATAACTGTTTCAAACTGTGTTTCTTTAGCAATATTTCTACAGCTAATACTCTTTTGAACTGAAGTTTGTAATGTTTCTTCTAAAAACAAAAGAAAACTCTTTTTTCTAAATTTTCATACTAATATTTGATTTGGCAATCCTAAAGAATTACTCTATTTTGATTTGGGCCATTTTTTGTTTAATTGAAGTTCCAAACTAGTTTGACAGGGAAACTCAAAAGAATTGTGTTTGCTCACTGTGAAGACAATGGAACAATGTATTCCTATTGATAAATAGATTTCTTAAATATTTAAGGTAACTATGTTAACGTAATGTGACAAACTTTGCTACTTAGAAATAAACCTTCAGTTTTTAGAAGTAATAGAGAACTTGTACTAATTTTCAAATATCCAAAAAATACATTATGTGCACATTCCAAAGGGTAATTCATGTCTTCCTTATGCTTTAATTTATTTTTAAAGAAAGAGTTTCTTAAATGTCCTGTATATCACCTAGTACATTTCTTTTTACAAGTCAGGTCTATTTTCTACTTGATTTTCCCTAAATATTTCATCAAACTAGTATTCAATAACATAAGCACAGCTTTGACAAATTGTCTTGAACATATTGTTGTAATTTAAATATTTTCTTTTGCTGATGTCAGATTTCCTTTCTCTCTCTGTTTTATTAACGAATCATTAACTAATTCCTCTCTGTTTTTATTACCTTTCCCTTGCCCTTGTTTTATGGAAGCTTGAACTTTGGACTATTTGAAAAGAAGAGGGAGCAGCTCATATCACCATGATCAGATATTTTTTCCCATTGGAATCCTAGTCTTATTAAAAAAATATGCATTTTTAACAGAGGTTGTGGAGTCTCCTTCTCTGGAGATCTTCAAAACCCGCTTGGATGTAGCCCTGTGCCGCATGCTCTAGGTGACCCTGCATGTGCAGGGGGGTTGGACTAGATGATCTCTAGAGGTCCCTTCCAACCTTAAGCATTCTGTGATTCTATGATTCTATGATTTTTATTTAAGATTTTTCTTTTCACGGGAGAGGCCATAGTCATTAAAGCACTTTGTAAGCTAATAGAAATGATTAAAAAAAAAGGGAGTGAAGCCCATTGTGAAAGCAATACTTTCCTGAAGTAGATAAATATTTCAATAGTGAGATCTTAAATAATCAGTTTCGAAATCAAATTTCCATGGTCACAGGTAAGTTTTAAATGATTAAGTTGTTTTTAGTTGAATATATTCTGGGGAACACAGCTTGTAAAGAAGCAGAATCACTGAAGTTTCTCCTATTCCTGAGTTTCTACAGACAGTTCAAAGGGAAATTTGAGAAAGAATTGAGAAGAAATTTTAACAGTTCCTACCTATGAGTCTAAGCCTGTAAACAAAATTCAAGAATATTCTCATTTGTGTATAATCAATACAGTCAGAGATTAATATTTTGCTGTGATGTGATTTAATACCAGTGCCTTGAATTCTTCTCCCAGATTATGCAAGTTATTCCTGTCTCTCAAAGAAACATGTATTTTGTAGCTCTCATAAGTTCTATTCCAAATGCAGTTTGATGCAACACCCATTAAAAAGGATGGCTGCTTTGACATCATGGGACCTGAACCTACCAGGGTTCCACAGCCCTTTTCATTTCTCTTCTCCCTTTCTACCTGTCTTTGCATAGAAGTCTAGAAAGTGAAAACCTAACTTCCATCAGTTGTTATCAGCAGTTCCCTTCCTGAAGGTTTAAGGGCAAAGAAAGAGCTTTCCATGTTTATGTCTGGCTCGTATTTACTGATTCAGAAAGGAAGTCAGTGGAATTACCAAGTGTTCAAGTGAATCACATGCTTTAATGCTAATCTGGATGATGAGCCAAAACATGTCCTAGATTGTTAGGTCCTCAAGCCTTTATTTCACAAAGCTCAAGTGCTTTCTCAGAACTTTGTTTAACCAGAACTGGGCAGGCTAAAGCCTTTCTGTGACTGCTGCTTTAACATAGGGCATTCTTAAAATCTGTTTGATTCCTCTGCCTCAGCAAAGAACTACAGCTTTCCTTCTGAGAGAATCTTCTGTAGATACTCTAAGTTCTTTCTGGCTTATTCTGCTTGCATGTGAATAATGAGCCCATGTTGACCTTTAAAAGAAAATAATGCATTCTCAGTAATTAGCATGGAAAGGAGGAAATCAGCATGAAACTGAGAGGAAACTCTTAGTTTAATCTTAAGCATTTATGTGTTCTGGGTTTGTTGACACTGTTTATTTGCTTTTGTCAGTCGTCTAGAAGAGCTTCTTACTCTATACTCTTTCTAACTGTCACTTAGGCCAGGTGAAGTAATCAGGAAGTAAAATTTGCGAAGTGTATATAAAAACTTTGCCAAAAGATCACAGAGTCATTACTATTCTGAATACCTTAAACACGAGATTTTTAAATGTAAAAAGTTAAATACTTCCTTTGACTTTTTTTTGCAAAACATTTTTGAGGCCTGATATTTACCCCTTTGCCTTTTATGAAGATGTGTCCTATATTTAGCTTTTGCCCTGGGAGGAAGTTTGCTCTAGACCCAAGGAATAGATGTTATACCTTGAAAAAAACCCTTACACTCATGACCATAGGCTTCCTGCAGTGATATGTCTGCCTGCAGTAGAGGTTTTAGGTCCCCATTTACATGATCAAGGGACCAGAACACCAAGCATATAATTGAGTAGAGTTACACCTTGCCTATCAGTTCAGTATCTCTCTTGAGCATGCTTTGGCCATCTGGCGAAGTAGAGAACAGAAAACTAACATATAACATATAGCTCTCTCTCTTTAAATCCTTCCTTGCAATGTTAGTCTTCCCAAAGTCCTATTCACTTACGAAACATAAGCACACAGCTTAGCAAACAGCTGTGAATACAGAAACCCCAAGTTTTGACAGAGGCAAAATGCAAGAGTTAGTAAACCATTCAACCATTCCTCTCTAGCAATAGTTAGTAAAAAAGGCTTTCAAAATATATTGTCCTAGATTAGTAAATCATAGGAGGTGATTAATGAATCATAGGAGATTAGTAATGTAAAGGACATGAATAAAACCAAGAGCAAGGGCAAAAAAAAAAACAGAAGAGCCACCCACACTGACATTTGTTATGGTGTCTCTGTATTACTATTTGTGATATTTTTATGCTATGGTAACAAATATCTAACAGGGAATTGGAATACAATTAGTAATGAAGTCTCTGTGCATTTAGAGGTAGAATGTTAACATCCAAACCAGTGCCAAATACAGAAACATTAAAAAAAAAGTAAAGGGTGTCATAATTATGCACAAAAGTTAGCAATCCCTAGATTGCTAACCATCCATAAGTCCATAGGTAGTAAACCAAGCCGTAATATAGTTATCATAGGAGCAGCTATTGGGCAATTATCTCCATTTTAACAGAATACCCAGCTTAGTGATTGTGAATATTATCACATATTAATAGAGTTCTTTAACATGCTTGGAATAGACAGACTAAAAACAGTCCCCAAAATGAAAGCAAGGCAATACTTGATGAGATCTTTTTCTTTTTTAAAAAAATATTTGGTCTGTGACCCTCTCTTGCAGACCTAACTCTACACTGGAATTTACTGGATCCTGAGGTAAGCAGGCAGGAAGCAGGTAGCTTGAAATATTCTGTTAGTTTCCTATGATTTTATTCTTCTTTAAGGAGCAGAATGAAATCCTAATGTGTATGAATTGCCATAGCTCTATTCAAACTACTGAAGTTATTTCCATTTCTAGAGTCACTGAAAATATGGCCAAAAATAAACCTTGAAAAAACAGATTTATGTGACAAATAAGGAGAGCAGCACATAAACTTCCAAAAGAAATACTGTAATTAGATCAATATACCAAGTACTGTCGGGATTCACAGAAAGAATATAATTTCTCTTTTAAAGATTTGTTTCCTATTTCTACATAGAAGAGGCAAACACAGGCTTTAAATTAATTGAAATCACTTACAACTACCATACTGGTAAGACTTGAAGCAACTGAGCAATCATCCTTAGTTTCTTCCCTTAGGATATAGGAAAACTGATTATTGTAAAAGCTACATAAACCTCCCACTTCATGAAATTTTAATTATATTTTGCGGAATGTAACAAATTATGATACCACACGGAATCACTCTTTCGATAGGTATGCAAATGGTGAGAGCTATACAGTAATTAGTATTACTTGAGGTTTCTTTCACTTGTATGGGCGATGGATTTGCCTCATTGCTGCTATAGCAGCCAAGCCCAGAACGTGCCAGTGGAATGAAAGATGTGTATATAAAAACTAATAAGAGCTG